CACTTTGAAGTGGGAAAATGCTTTAAGTGCTGCTGTTTTTCATTAAAAATTCAAAACTATTTGACACTACTGTTTAAAATTAATTTGAATAAAGCTTTAAATGACATCATTTTTTTGCCTTTATACTGCTTCTACAATCTGTTGTGTTCCTCTGGGAATGCCTAAGGCTGCTAATTATACAATGGCCATTTTACTGTAAAGAGATTCTTGAACTGTTCAAACACTTTGCATTTGTTGGGTTCACTCCCAAATTTAGTCATCTATTGTCGCCGTCAATTTGTAACTCCCAGCCCAACCGCCGTGTCAGTGTGGGTGTGATGGGACTGTACTCTCCCTTTCGGAATTAATTTGATGGTGATATAGGCACTGCCGCCAGACGACAAGGTAGTCCACACTGGGCATTTTGTTACGAGTGTATTGTAGCAATAACTTCCTAAACAGTGAGAAGTAATTGCAAGGCTTTTCCATGGATTTTATATAGATAGATATAGATATAAATAAATTCATATGGATAATTAGAACAGTCACAGTTAAAATACATAAAACCTCTTTTTACAGGACATAAACCACTAACTGCCTGAGGGTAGAAAGAAATTTCCCCAAAGGCAGGTTATTCCATAATAGTCTACAGGGGAATTGAAGCATTTGACAGCAATCCCTGTTCCTGGGAAAAGCTTCAGTAGAACACATCAGTAGTGCAGAGGAGAGTCCATATGGCAAAGAGATCCCTTTTGATGCCTGGCGCTGTCCCCTGCTCACATAATTGCATGAAATAGGATATCTGAATGTCTGTGGATGGAGAGAGTGAGGGAGCACTTTCCTTAGGTGATTGATCTTATGGAAGTGGTCAGGTTAGATGGGAGGGAAGTGATTGTTTGGGATTCTGGGGGCTGGGAAACAGCAGAGGATAGGATATAGGTTGGGAAAGGGTAGAAGCTAGATTTTGGCTAATTGATTAGGCATTGTGGCACTTATTAAGTACAATGACATTCTTAACGTGAAGTCAGTGGGACTTAAGCACGTTCTTAACGTTAAGTATGTTCTGAAGTGCTTTGCTCTGAGAGTAAGAGGGGTGGGGAGAGAGAAATCATTTAATAACAATAATTAAGGTACTTGGGAGGGTAGCATCTGGACTAGGACAAGGGATGTTTTGGAGAGATGTTAATATTTGGGTTATTAATAGAAAGTAGAAATGACTAGTTCCATTTTGGATTTGAGTCATACCTGCAACTTATTAAATGTAATTAACCTTGCCAAACAATAGCAGGGTTATTTTGGACAAGAAAATCAACATTACTGACTAGAAGAACAGGAGTACTTGTGGCACCTTAGAGACTAACAAATTTATTAGAGCGTAAGCTTTCGTGGACT